TTACAATTAATATATTTCTAACGTACTTATACATTTTTATTTTATTTAAAATTTTTTCTTATTATACGTTGTTTAGTCTTACATTTTTATTTATTACAGATATAAATTTATCAGTCAAAATATATTTATAAAAGATACTTAACTATAAAGGATTATCTATTAGGTAACATACTTTAACCTCTTCAAAATTTCTTCTTACGATAATGTGATAGTTCAAATTCTAGTAAAATATACGTGACTCATCACTACTCGTTAACAAAAAAACTTATAAGTTTGATGTATCTGTCTAATACACTTTTCGTCACGAACTCAAAACATTCGAAATGTATAATTAATCTATTCTCGCATAACATAAGAAAATTCCACAAGAACGAAAATAAATGCCATATAGGGGTACTATTAACGAAAGATATGGATATAAATAATTTAGAATTATTCTGTAATAATATAAAATCGTTAGGTAATCGAAGCCTTAATTGTCAGCCTCATTAAATTACAATATCTGTTATCTCGGAAAATAAGGTAACATGCGCAACAACAAATATTAGATAAAACGAAGAACAGTAAGTAACTTTCGAAAATAATAGATTAACAAATCACGTAGAACATTTTGCCTCGAATATATGTGAATCAAAGATGTTGGTCTTATTCTTTACTCTACGTAAAAGTAAATGGGCAGATGCAAAATAAAATCTTGGTATTCATCCGTATCGAAAGGAGGAAGATCACGGGAAAAATCGAAAAATAACGGGTTACTATTGCCATTCAAATGTAACCTCGAATATGTGAGAAAGAGAAAGATAAAAAAAAAAAAGAAGAAGAAGAAATTTGAATAGATTCAAGGAATAAAGGGGGGAAGGGGGGAGGGAGATTGTATCTGACGTTTTCTATTTTCTACAAGAGACGACTAAATTTGGCGTGATCGTGGAAGAAAAAGGAAATCTTCTCTGTTAACAATCGCCGTTGAATAAGATAACTCTACAAGAAAATGAAAGAGTTGTGAGTAAAGAAAGAACAGGGGCACACAGAATGCAAAAGTAAAAGCAAAAGGGAAATGTTATTTTACCTTAGATTGAACAACTAATGTTCTAGGTATTTCGAGATACCTACAATAACAATCTGAACCCATTGTCATTTCTTTTAATTAATGAATTTTTTATGCAAATTATTTTGATTGTTAGAGAATTTCTTTAGAAACTGGGATAGCTTCGTTCAATAATCCTATAACACAGCAAGAAAACAACGTATTTTCGGAAGATCTAAGAAACGAAATAGAGAAAAGGGTATTGACTTCAAAGGGTTGTTAATAGAAAATTCTAAGGTACGATTTCTAAATGATTCTTTGATGTGTGTGTGGAACAACTTGAAGACCTTGATCTAATATCAACATCTTTACTAAAATTTATTCATTTGTTTACCATTTTCAAACACAACGTCATTTCTTAAATGCATTCTTCACCCCTTTGAAATTTAATTTAAAAGGTTTCCGTAACAATAAGGATACTAGTCATCTATTGTTAACATCATCGAGGAATGGCTTACGATTAAATGATTTTCGAACAATACATTATTCATCAAAATTAAAGTTGTGCTACTTTCTCTGCTACTATTATTTTTATTCGTTTTCTTTCAAATATTCTTAACTTTTGGAAATAGTTAATTTAAACAATTTATATATGCAAATATAACGTGTGCGCGCGCGCATTTACTCGTAGGTGCACGCACAATTCTTTTTATTATCGCGTTTCAACATATCGTCATTTTCTTTTAAAATATTTTTACAAAAGATTAATTTTTTAAATAAATAAAACAGAGCAAATATATTATGTATGTTACAATTAGTTATCGTTCATAGAAATAGCAATAAAAAAAGCTATTATAACAGGACGAAGTCCTAATAAAAAGAAGAAGAAGACAATTAGTTATTATGTTACCAAATTATTTTACGTGGATGTAATAAATACAAATGTACACGTACAGTAAACGAATTAATAAATCTCGAACTCATTTAATATTTTTAATATATTAATTTTATTTTTATTTTATATTTTATGTATGTAGGTACCGTAACACACTGTTAACGTTTATATAATTAATCTATATTTATAAATTTTACCGATAAATATGAGTAAAATAAATCTTATTAACATACGTGAAATATAAATAAATAATTTGTATTATAAATTATATAAATGCTGCTTTGTTTGTAAATAAAAGAACTATTTAAATGTATCCTTCCACTTCTTCTGAAAAGGGACCAATACCCCCACCACCTTCTTCTAAGATCTCCTACCCTTGCCCGAATAAGGGTTGCCAGGTATAAAAGCAACTGAACATCTAAACTCATTTTAAACGTTTCTGGTCATTCTTCGGCAGAAGCCATCGGACATCCCGAAATTTTTCAACCTAATCTCAAGTTATTTTATACGACGTTTGTGACTAACATCAATTTAGAAAGTATCGTTAACATTGTGTCATACAGAGATAGTGGTGATCATAGTGCAAGATTGGATTAATTTTATTTATTTAAGAAATAATTTATTTCTAATACGTATACGTTTAAAATATAAGTGATCAGAAATTGTTACTTGTTGGTTGATACACGACAAAAACTAAACAAGTCCCAAGAAAAAAAGAAAAAAAAAAAGAAATATTTTTATTTCTAACATTCTAATTACCTATTCGTACGATTAGAAAATTTTATTGGATATAGACGTATTATATATTTACAAGGGTCACCTTCGACATCATTTTAAATAATATATCTTACATATGTTATAACAGATCACGTTCTATTTCATAATACGCGAGTTTTGTATAAATTGAAGAAAATTGTATTTTCGTTTTCGGTAAAAAGAAAAAGTGAAAAAAAAAGAAATCGTCAAGAGATGGATGCCGATAGGAAAGCTATGATATATAAAATACAACAACAAAATCTTCGAAATTATCAAGTTCCTTTGATAAAAACTGAAAACCCGTTACCAATTGACGAATCAATGGAACAACCAACTGACTTATCCAATTCGTCTAATCAAGATACTTCAGAGGACACAACTTCGGAACATTCGATATTAGATTTGTCATGCAAGAAAACATTTGTTTCACCTACGTCCAGTAAAAGTGATAATTCTAACGCGATTCAAAGGATCAAGGAGGATTTACCTACGGTACGAGAGGAAAACGTTACAACTCGTAAAAGAAAATATAATAATAGTCCTTTAGAAAGGCAATATAGTATGTTCACTCCACCGTCAGAATCCCAGTCACCTAATATAAACGAATACGAAGGAAGACCTGTGAACCTTTTTCCGATTAACAATAATAACATCGAAAAATTACCATCTCATTTGCCAATTAACGTCCCGATTCCGATTCCGGCAATACCAAGTATATTACCTACTTTGCTCACGTCAAATTCATTGGAAAAAAATATAGAAAAAGTTATTAACACGAACATTCAATTGCCCACTATAACAACAGCAACAGTGACACCAACTAATTTATATCCTGTCGAAAGTCCGAGGAAAATGCCTAGACCGTTTAAAGCTTATCCTATAACTATTCCGACTAATCAATCGGATTTGATCTATACACAAAATAATGATGAAGAGTATCAAGAATTTCGAGAAAAGATGCTCATGAGCGTTAAACGTCAAAACGAATCGTCTAATCCTAAAATGCGAAGAACCAACAAAACTTCATCTCCGGCAGTGCCGACCAGTACCGTAGATGAAAAGGATGCTACTTATTGGGAAAGGAGGAAAAAGAATAATGAAGCTGCTAAACGATCGAGAGATGCTAGAAGAGCGAAAGAAGATGAAATTGCAATAAGAGCCGCATATCTTGAACAAGAAAATTTGAAGCTCAAATATGAACTGGCGGCGCTCAGAAATGAAACCGCTAAACTGAAATGTATGATATACTCGACGACTTAGATATTTCAATTTTCATTTGTGAACAAATTTAATATTCACGTAATGTTATTCCTCCGTTTAAAGGAATAATCATTCTGTACAGTAGTTTAATAAGAAGAATATCTTCAGGAAGATATAGGGGTTAAAAGAGATATTTGTTCGTTCGTTCGATCGTTCATTACATCTATCTATCCCCATCTTTGACTTTTTCTAATTGTAAATCCAGAAAGTTAAATCATTTTATAATATTGCTAAAATTTATTTGTATATTTATGATAAACAGATTTATATATTTATACACCACGATAATTGTGGATTAAAATAAAATATTGAAAAAAGAAAAAAAAAACAAAAAAAAGGGAATTAATTTTATGATTTATATTATATGAAAATGATTTAACTTCTGGTATAAGATAAATTATAAAATTTTGTTGGCGTTATTCACTATCACAATTATTGCCACATAGAACGTCAACGTCAATACGTTATATTATTCTATTTTTATATAGATTATTTTTTGGTGTTATTAGTCGAATTAATAAATTGGATACTTGCAATCAACAATTAAAATAAATGTAATATATCGAACGAGAATGGGACACAGTGGCCGATCGTTCCAACCAATTGAAAGTGCATTCCTTCCACAAGGTTTCTTTCCGTAAGGGGTAACTCAAGATTTATCTATTTTTTTTCTTCGTACTTTTTACTCTTATTTAATCGCAGGTACAAATCATTTGTTCAAACATTCGTGAAAAGAAAACAACAATAATTTGAATTTTTCGTGTACGTTATGTAAATACAAATTCATTATGACGAATAATAATGAAATAGTACTTGTGGTCGTGAACGTAAAACGAATGAATTACAGCGTTAAATTTTGATACATTCACAAATAAGAATTGTCTACAAAATTTAACTCTGTTGTCACAAATACTTTTTGTACACGCAAAAATTTGAACTATTTTGTATCGCGTAAGCATAATCCATCGAAACGAATAATTTCACCTATAATTAAAAAGAGGAAAGTATTATCAACGTGTATCAAGCTCATCGAAATCTGAGGATAAATGTCAAGTTACCCCTTATAAAGTGCACACAATCGTATAACGTGCTAATAATTATGACAATAATCTAAATCTATAAAATTGATTTTATAAATAATTTATTTTATATATCAATTATATATTTATGTTATAAAAAAAAAATAATCGTTTCTATTTTTTTTACTTAGTTTACTGTCATAATTATTAATTAATATACGTGTAATATATAGGCAAGCTATTATTTGACGAGAAAATGCGGCATCAAAGTTAAGAAACAGAAACGGATCATAACTGGTAAATGTTTCAAGCTTTGTATTGTTAACAAGTTAAGCGCTGTAAAGTATTCGATATTTTTATTAATTTTATATATTTAATAAATTTTTGAATTTTATTATTTTTGTCTTTTTATTTCAAATAATTTGTCTAATTTTATATCAATTTTTTGTACAGCTTCTTGTAATTCATATTTACTTAATTATCACATTTTATAATTGATCAGTATATTTTAGAATCTAATTACTCAATAAAGACGAAATTTTGGGTACTATTAAATAATCTATAAAAACGACATGTAAATAAAATTCAAATTGAAGAATTATTGTAATAAACAGTTAAACTTCCAATTATATCTGTAAATATTGTTTAACTGTTTACGTAATAAATATACATGTATATAATTTTGTATGTATATATATATATATATGCATACAAAATTATCATTTAATATATTTACGCAATATATATATATATATACATATACATATACATATATTAATTATAATTTAAATATATATATACATATACATGTGTGTGTACTTAATATATAACTGTGTACTTAATATATAACTGTGTACTTAATATATAACTGTATAATAAATACTATATAAATATTATATGATAATAGTTGCATTATTTTACACATATAAAAAATAACTCTTAACCAACTAACTATGATTGACGATGTTCAATTATACGGAATAGATATTATAGATAATGAAACTCTAATGAAATATAAATAATTATCATAAAAATACTGTGTATAGTGTGAACAAAGTAAAACAAACTCGTTCAACTAAACCTAACGCTACACAACTAATATATATAAAAATATTTTTTAAACTATATACCAAGCACATCTTCCAAAAGTTATTCCACAAGAAAATATTTACATATAACAAAACTAATAGTCGGAAACAATCAAGATATTGATATTTGACTTGCAAAATGCTATTACATATTGTACCTTGCTTTACTCAATTATCATTCAACAACAGCAGATAAATTTCTGACTAATCATTCTTTTAAATAATTAATTTTTTTGATTTTTTTTTCCATATGCAAACTATATATTTGAATTAAGTACACGAAGAAGAAGAATGAACGTGTGTATTAATAATAAAATTATAAATTTTATACAAAAATAATACAATCATTTGATTAAAACTTAATTCAATATTACAACAGCTACATATACTGTCTTTAACGAGTATACTCGTTGTCACTTTATATTTTGGCAATACAATTTAGGTGCACACTTTTTAAAGAAGTCACCATAGGTAACTGGTTAATCGGGTAGAGATTTTGCTATGTCTGACATACATTCTGCTTCAAGAACATTTCTTTCTTTACTTTGATTTTTACTAAGAGTCTTTGCATAAGATTTTTCTACTTGTCTAGGTACAAACATTAAAGATGCATTTTTATCAATATCAGTAAACGTTGTGGAAGAAGAAGAAGCAGCACAACTTGCGGTAGGCTTTTCAAAGTTACTTATTCTGGAAGTTTTATTAAACGTTTTAGTTTTTTGATTCTTATTTAATAGAATTTTCTTGTTCTTTTTCTTTTTCTTTTCCTTTTCCTCTTTTTCATCTACAATATCAATATCCATTTTATTAGAGGAATCTACATCCATTTTGTTATTGGAATTTTCTTCTTTTTTGTGATATGACATATCGAAGCGACAATTTTTTGGATATTTATGTACATTGATACAGTGTTCCCGTCTTTCATTTGAATTATTGAACTTCGTGTTACATTGAGAAACATAACACTGATACTAAAAAGAAAAATAATATGTAATATTAATCATCATATTAGAAAATATATGTATAAGATATACAAAATATAATTACCATTGGTTGTTTCTCTGATAATAGCTTGAAAAATGTATCGTGCGTTTCTTGGATATGAATTTCTAATAATCTAGGATTTGGTTTAATCCTTTTACACTCCAAGCAAATATATCGGTGGCAGGAATTATAATGCATTTCAAAGTCTAATAATGTTTTAAATATTGCTGCACATTGTGAGTTCGGACAAGAAAAATCTTGTATACTGAAACAATCCACAACTATTAATGTTAATCAATGCAATATTTTACTTATTAATTTTGTATGTTTTGTATATGACCCCATTTTTACCACCATATATATATATATATATATATATATGGTGGTAAAATAGTATATATATATTACATATGTATATATTATGTCATTGCATATTTCTTATTACATGTCATGGCATAAATCTTCATCATCTTCAGCTATAATTCCTTTCCTTTGAAATATCTTGCAACTTTTATAAGTTTCATCAAAAAAGGGATCATCTATAGGTCTCACACCAACTCCAATGCTTTTTAGAAATTCCATAGTAATAAATATAAATTTCAAGTAAAAATTATTAATAAATATGAATGATAATAACTAAAGATATATTTATTGCAAATATAATAAATAATTAAGTTGACACTTTTCCAATCTCTTAAAACTTCTTCTTTAACATAACCTCACAATCAAAAACAAAACATTTGTATACTTAATCATTTATTTACAAATAATCATATAACAAGAACGCTACTGTGATTGGCTTATTTCTCAATGGTATGCAGGCAGATGCACATTATTAAACATAGATGGTGTAATACTACTATGATTGGCTTGTTTCTTATTTTTCGATGGTACACCGTTAGTTAGCATCAGTAAGCATAGATAGCGTACTAATCGAAAAAACGGTAAAGTAAAAAACAAGTATACGAATAAGTATACAACATTGCGTTATTGTCAAAGGAAATTAAAAAAATCTTTGTGACATTGATACAATAATATTGAAACAAAATTCTCGATTTATTTAAAAATATAACTGATATATTTTATATTAATATATAAATGTAATAATACATGTAATAGTGCATGTATCAAGAGCCGTAAAAATATTTATTAAAACGAAGTAATTATTATTAAAGTGAACAATTCAAATTGAATATTATCAACCTAGTGATTATTGTTTAATTAAAGGATTAACAATAAAAATTTTGTTATAATTGAAAATAAGTAAAGGTAGAGTTATGGAAGACAAACATAAAGAATCGTCCAAAAATAATTTAGATGATAATGAAAACGATAATAAAAATGATTTACAAGAAAAGGTTAGTCCAGAATTGCTGGATAAAGAAGACGCAATTGAAAATATGGATGAAAAAGAAACGATGGCCTCTTCAGAAATAAATGAAAAAGTTAATGATCGCCCTATTAAAATAGAATTTAAAAAACCAACCATTATGATTGGACCAAAGCGTGGAAAACGTAAGATTTTACCATTTCCTAGTTCAGCTACTTCAACTAAAGTTCAACAAGAGATCGAATCAAATAATGAAGAATCAGATGCACCTTTGGATAAAGCTACGTCAAATACAAATCAGATAAAATCATCGTTGGATGACAAACAGACTATTTGTTCTAAGACTCACAAAACATTAACTTTGAAGTATGACGAACCTAGTTGGGGTGGAATACCAGAGGACGAATATAAATTGGAAGTATTGAAATCTGGCGTTATAGTTCAAACTATCGATTTAACTAGCAAAAGTTATCACGTTGTTGGAAGGCTACCTAATTGCGATATTTCTCTTGCACATCCAACTATTTCAAGGTTTCACGCAATAATTCAATATAGAGGAATAGAAGATGAAAATAATTCTAAAGGATTATATGTATATGATCTAGGAAGTACGCATGGTACTTATTGGAATGGAAATCGTGTACCTCCTAATGCTTACGTAAGACTGCATGATAGTCACATTATTAAATTTGGTTGTAGTGCACGTAAATATATAGTACAAGCACTTCACGAAAGTAAAGAGGAAGAATCTGAATTATCTTACACGGAATTAAGGGTATGAAGTTGTTGTAAATTGATATTTAACAGATATTTTTATTATTTTTTCATCTGACCAGTATTTTTATTATCTTTTTTAGGAAAAAAGAATGTTAGATTTACAAGAACGTGAGAAAATGAAAGCAGCACAACGTTCACAAATGATAGAAGAAGAAAGATTGAAAAAAGAAGAAGAAGAAAATGAAGGTATTGATTGGGGTATGGGTGAAGATGCTGACGAAGAAACGGATTTAACAGAAAATCCATATGCTGCTACAAATAATGAAGAATTATATCTTAACGATCCGAAGAAAAGTTTGAGAGGATGGTTCGAACGTGAAGGATATGATTTGCAATATCACACTGAAGAAAGAGGATTTGCACAATTTCTTTGTTGGGTCGAGTACGTATTTTATAATATTTTTTATAAATCTACATTAAAATTATATTAATATATTAAACAATGTTCTATTAGTTTGCCTATCGAAAGTATTGCTGGCCATACAGTGAGAGCTGAAGCACTTGTTAAGGGAAAAAAAAAAGAATGCGTTATTCAATGCGCTTTAGAGGCTTGTAAAATTTTAGATAGATATGGATTACTTAGGCAAGCGACTCATGGTACGTTATCAAAAGTTTTTATTTCGTAAATTTCCACATTTAAAAATATCTATAAAAATAATTATTATATTATAATTTCTATATAAATGTTATATATATAGAAAGCAAAAAGAGGAAAGTAAGAAACTGGGAAGAAGATGATTATTATAGTTCAGACGAAGATAATTTCCTCGATAGGACTGGTTCTATAGAAAAGAAACGCCAACAAAGAATGAGATTAGCAGGAAAATTAGAACCGCAAAAGGATACATACGATTCATTGGTATTATTTAAACATATTTTATTTCACGTAAGATATATGTTTTAATTATCTATAATTCAATTAATTATTTTTGGAAAAGGTGGAAAAGCATGATACAGTTGTAAAACAGATTACTGATTTGGTTGAATGCATGAGGAAGTCGCAAAAGTTTGAAAATGAATCTTCAAAGAATGAAAAAGACACAGAAGAAGACGCGTTAGATGCTTTTATGTCATCTTTAAATGTGACTATTTTGACTAAAGCTGATAAACGTAAAATGAAGGTCAAATTACAAGATTTACGACAAGAAGAAGCAAAATTGATAAAATTATTAAATCCTTTGCGACCAACTAATTTGCCACCTTTAAGCATTCATATAGTACCTTTAAATGAAGCACAAAAATCAAGTGAAATGTTTGATAATGATGTAAAAATGAATCAAAAAACAAATTATCAAACTTCAAAAGATGTAAGTAATTAATCTTTGTATCAATCTTTTACTGATTACTTTTTAAATTGCAATAAATTATAATTTTACGTAACAATGTGTGTGTGAAATTTTACAGGAAACAGCTGTCGTGGATCCTAAAAATATTTTGCAATCCAAGCAAAATAATATCAATATTGTAGAAGAAGAAGAATTAAGGAAAAATAGTAAAGAAGATAGTTCAGAAATTAGTGACGATAAGAGTTCAAATAATATAGAATCTCTTGAAGACACATCCCAGACACCAATAAGTACCACAGAAACGGAAGATAATTTACTTAAAGTGGAAAATGTAAGCGTTGCAACAAAAATATTATCCAACATTGTTACTAGCATTCCTCCAAGCGATCAATCGTCTACGAAAACATCCAAAGTTACTAAAACAGTAAAAGAAACTTATGATAAGGACGTATACAATGACAATTATTCAACCTGGGTTCCACCACAAAATCAAAGTGGAGACGGAAAGACAAGTTTAAACGATAAATACGGTTATTAAATTTTCATTATTCATTTTTTGGACTTAATATATTGAAAAGTGACTACAAAAGGTATTGATACATCACTGGAGATGTTAATTGCTCCGTTGTCGAGTAACCTGAGGGAGTGACTTACGATTGTTAAGGGTTAAACTGTATACATAAGAAACTTTTTTTGTATAATATTGTAAATATAATCTTTCTAATATATTTCTTTTGAATTTGATTTATATATATAGGAGTTAAGTAGCCTTACAAGTAAAATAAAACATGGGACTAATTTTAAATGTCGCGCCATTTTAATCGCGATGTTGCCAACGATTTTCGATTAACTCATAATCGAGAATGTACAATCGAAGTTCGATAGAATAAACGAATCGATTGTTTTCATCGATTATAATATCGACTCTCGACAAAGTGGAGTCGCGTGTTTTTGCTGAGCTGGATTGTGTTTACATCCTAAAAAACTGTTTATCACTCCGTCCTCCCCTCCCTTAATCCGAATCACAAGCTGTTTGGTGGCTATACACACGCATATTTATAAATATAGATATATATTTTTTTTTTGGAAAATCGTGTAGCTTTAAACGCCCCGGGTTTCCCTTTCTTTCGAATTTTAATATTACCTCCCAGACTTTTCTTATTTTTTGATCGTACTTTTGGTCGCGAGTAAGCACCGAGAGAGAGAGTGAGAGAGTGAGTGAGAGAGGTCTAAACGCGTTCGAAAAGAAGAAAGGAAGCAGCTTGCTTGATAGAAAAATGAAGGTGACGGTAACAACCCTAAGCGACGATATCTTCGTCTTAGATGTCAGTGAAGATCTCGAATTAGAGAACTTTAAGGCCTTCTGCGAAATCGAAAGCGGCGTACCGGCCCACGAAATCGTCATTGCATTCAACGGCCTACCATTAATGGACGATAAGAAGTCTCTTAAGGACCATGGCATTCGTGATGGTGACGCTGTTATTCTCCAACACATGCATCAGAGTGGCACGGACTTGAACATTAACCCCTTTAACGGAGGTCAGCATATAAACGCTAATTGACCGTGTTCCGACATGAGGTTAGCCTCTCGATTTCAGTTTTTGAATTTTTTGCAATATGTTTATCAAAGAAATCGAGAAATTTCTGTTCTTTCTCTCTCTCTCTCTCTCTCTCTCTTTCTTTCTTTCTTTCTTTTTTTCTTTCTTTCTCTTTTTTAGATTTTTTTTCCTTCTATTTTGAGTTAGTACATAGTCTGTGTGCATTTATAAGCCGTTCGCAGACCAAAAGTATTAATTCCACTTGAAAAATAATTTTAAATGTTTTTACCAAAGCGCTTGATCAATAAGTTAATATTTTATATTTCAAATAAATTTCTTTAATACATTGATTCATCACATTGGTCATATGGATAATCAGAGCTCGTTTTCATAATGGTCATCAGCTCAAACATTTAAATAATTAATTTCAAATGTATATCGACAATTAAAATATTTTTAACATCATATCTAATTGAAGTATACTATGAACTAAAAAATATACTATCTAAGAATAAAAAATTGTAATTAAATTATTATATATTGTATTACAAAATTTTTATTTCACGTATTGTATTATTCTCTTGTGACTTTCTTAGAGTGTCATGCAAATCTGGTGTAGCAGTCAACACGTTAATAATTTGGTTTAATAAATATAACTTCTCCAATTTGCTCTAATTTTCGCGTGGAGTTGATCGATGTGGTAAATGAGCGATTCATATATCTTCGTTAAAGTTGTAGAATTTTTAATTATAATTAGGTAATCTGTAGCAAATGGAATGATAATTGAATTTAAAAATTCGTTGTTTCAGTTATTCCTACATTGGACTTCAGTTCCATCAGAGTACCAGGAACATCGAACAATAGGCAAATTCCAACTCAAATTCCAACTCCAGCTCCAGTTTCAAATAGTGCTGCACATAGAGTACAAAATCCACGTAGTGAAGATGATCCAGCCATGATAAGAGATATGTTCTTGGCAAATCCAGACCAGCTGGCTCTGCTTAAGCAAAATAATCCTAGACTAGCGGATGCCCTGTTGTCTGGTAATTTAGGTAAATATAACATATTCGTATCAATTTTCATTTCTTCGAACGGACATAAATAAAAGTTAAACAATTGTAGATAGATTTTCTACTGTATTGAGGGAACAAATCAAGGTCAGAGAAGAACGCCAAGTGCAAAGATTAAGAATGATGAATGCAGATCCACTAGATACTGAAGCACAAAGACTGATTGCAGAAGAAATCCGGCAGAAAAACATTGAAGCTAATATGGAAGCAGCTATGGAATATAATCCTGAAACATTTGGCACTGTTGTTATGTTGTATATTAATTGCAAAGTTAACGGATTTCCTGTTAAAGCATTTATTGACTCAGGTATACTTTTAATATTTTAGTTGGATAACGAACTAAATGTATAAATGTCTAAAAGAAAAAAGTATGCATCTCTGCAGGCGTTTTTTGCTTGAATTTATTTTTAAATTTTTCTCACTCGATTTACTGGATATCTATTTTTAAATCGTACTGCCTTGAGTCATCTTGTGGATCCTTCTTGTATTTTCACTGTCCGACTTTTTTTCAGTTAATTTTAGATTTATTTATTGTAGGTATTTTGTATAATCTGAAAAAGGTGGCGGATATACTAATAGTTGTCAAGACATTAACATTAGAAATATTATTTATGTAATTAGGTGCACAAACAACGATAATGTCTGCAGCTTGTGCTGAACGATGTCACATTATGCGTCTAGTTGATACTAGATGGGCTGGAGTAGCTAAGGGTGTTGGTGTTCAGCGCATCATTGGACGAATTCATATGGTTCAAATTCAAATTGGCAATGATCATCTTACAACATCCTTTAGCGTACTCGAAGAACAAAGGATGGATATGTTACTTGGTTTAGACATGTTGAAAAGGCACCAATGTTGTATAGACCTAAAGTCAAATTTATTGAAGATAGGAACTACAGGAACTGAGACTTCATTTTTAGCAGAAGGTTAAACTATGATTGATAATTTAGTGAACAGAAGATCTTTCATTGGGATATGAGAGAGATTTAATTTATTTATTATTTATTGTTAAATATTTTCCTACAGGCGATTTACCAGAATGTGCAAGATTAAGTGGTAATAGCGATGAATCATTGGACGATAGAGATCTACACAGGGCTTTAGAAGATAGTACAAGAGAAGCAAAAAAGCAAAGACAGCTACATGGTAATCATATATACACTTATATACATATAATATATAATAGTAAATTTTTAATAATAATAATCTTGAAATTTTTGTAAAAGCAAAAAATAATATTCTTTCAATACCATCTGAAGTAAATAATAGTGTTAATACGATAATGTTATTTATAGATAGCCAAAGTCACAACAATTCGGTGGGTGCATCTTCATCCAACAGATTAGCTACATTAGAGACTACCATTTTTTTACATGATCCATTTAATGAAGCGACAGTAAAAGAAATTGAAGCGTTAGGTTTCGGTAGAGCTCAAGTAATTAGCGAGTTGCGCAGGTTTAATGGCGATAAAGCACAAGCTACAGCAGCATTGTTTGCAAAATCCTTAAAATTCTAATGGTGAAAGCTATCATATACAATATTTAGCAATACTATAAAAATCTGTGAATAATAAGAAAAAGCTGGATTAAGACGACATTGCGATGACATGTAGCAAAGTTTATACCTGTAAATTTATACCTGTTTTTACATAGCAATTTTCCATAACGTTCGTTATACTTATTAACTAAAACTAATGACATTGCAAAAGATAATCTTTTAGAATGTTCTGTATAACAGGCTGATAAAATACTTAATCAATTTATGTATATTAAGTTTAATGCGTAAACGTATATTTAAACTTAAAAATATAAATGAAAAAAAATTATAAGATTTTATACAAGCGATGAAAAGATATTAATATTGAAATGAGTTAATCCCTAATGCAGTAAAAAGTTAAAAAATGTATGTCATGATAATTTACACAATGATTTAGATGTTTGTAAGTAAAAAAAAAAAAAAAATAATGATGCTTATAAAATATACAAATAATACATCTCAAGAATTACAAAAAATTGGATAATTCATATTTTTATTGAAAACAAAATTTTGTTTCTGGTAATTACTTTGAAGCAATTATGAAAGTTATAATATAATAATATGCCGAGCGATACTTTTAAAATATAATAATACCTGAATAAATCAATTATTATTAATGATACAAAGAAATATGTCGGACGAAATAAATTTGGTTTTGAGAGTGGCATGATTTTATGTTAATAAGTTTTTTATGTTTGCGTAGATGGATACGATATTGATTATATTATGGATATTTGATGGCGTTCAAAATGTTAATTTTTTGCAGATGCGATATATAAGGTGATTTGGTTTATCGCTTTATATTTATGAGCGATAAATATGTATCGGTATAGTATATTAAACAATATTATATTTTCATAAAAGTAAACCTTGACTTTCACTCGTCAGCCGGCTTCTTTCGCAAAGTTTTGAAACGCATGTACAGAGAATTATGACTGTCAAGATCATTTAAGATCGTTAAATATCAAATGCAATGAAAATTACTTTATTCATGAAACGTCCTCTCTATGTATCCATCTACAAAGAAAATTATTCACATGAGATTATACCTAACACGAGAGTATAAAATTAATAATTAGAAATTTTCGTCTGACATAATTTTCAATTACCAATAACAATCTAGTTATATGTATAAATATATATATATTTTTTGTTTTCACACATATTTATCATCTCTTTTTTTTGGGGTTGGGGGAAGGAATGTTTAATGATTATCAGGAATAAATAAGATATTTTTCAAGAAAATTTTCTAAATTTTTAAAAATGTTTTCTTATTAATTTGATTATTACAATACTTTTCATAATCATGTGATTTCGTAGTCACATATTCGTGTATAAGATACTTTTGGCTCCGATGTAAAAATTATGCATCATGTTGTCTAACCTCTGATTAACAAATGGTAAATTTTTTTTATATAATTCATTTGTTTCGCGTTATAACCATTTTATTACAGTCACAAAAAATATTCGTACTACAGAGGGTGAAATAATATTTATTATTTAACGGATTTGACTCCAAAATCGTATTTTTATATATAAAACAATTTAATCCAATCGCACAGATTAATTTTTTTAGTTTTTACATATTTCTCTAATAAAATCATATTTTTTTCCAATTATTAACATTATAATAATCATAATTAGTTGAACACGTTTATGTAATAAATTATCAATTACTCTGAATTTAAAAATAATATTTGAAAAAAAACGTCGTTAATATTCTAAACAATTGAATATAATTATGTTAATTGGGGAATTATTTGGGAATTCCCATATAATTGGGAAAATATTCTGATAATATTATTAGCTTTTATACCTCGTAATTACATTTTAGGCTTTATGTGACAATATCATTTATTATTCGTAAGAATATAATATATCTTTTATTACTCTCTCCATTTTACGGGTTTCATTCACTTTTCTACAAAAACTTTCTCACGCAAATCCCATATTTTTTAAGAAATCACGTTTTTTACTGTACATATAATTAAATATGTATAAATGTTCAAATTACATTTTTAAATGCTTATGTTGTAATATTTTGTTCTTTTATCTCTCATTTTATCTCATTTTTCTCGATTTGTTACGATTATGTAATTATGAAATGAAACTATGATATAATTGAAAAGATTATGTTACTAAAATAAAAGTATAATATGTGAAAAATACAAGTATAATATGCGAATGGAAACGAAAAAACATTCTCTTTATCATTATTTTCTTTTTTTTTTTGAATTTTCTAAACAAAAAAATTGTTGTTATTAACAGTAGAAAAAGAAAATTTTTGTTAATTGCAATAGAAAAAGAAAAAGCATAGACGAAAAATAAAAGGTGATAATAAATATCTAACAATCATGCTGTGGTAACTTGTAGATCGTGAATTGTAAAAATAATCTATCTTGATAAATATGATGAAAATATATTTTCATCTTGATTAAGCTATACAATATTTTAATATTAGACATTGCTAAATAGTAATTGTTGATTATCAGATACCCAATCACGTAGAATATATCACTGATCAACTCCCACTTAACCGCGATATATATAACGAGCAGACCGTTCACAATACTCATTGAAAGTAAGACCTTCGTCGTAGATGAACATAACTTCTGTTAAGCTTATTTGACGCGAAAAAAAATAATTTTAAATAAAAATGAATAAAATTCAAAATAAAACTGCATTGATTACCGGTGCAGCATCTGGGCTTGGATACAAATATGCTGAAGATTTGTTAAAAAATGGTGCCAAGGTAAACATTTAATATTATTTCAAGAAAATGTCCTTTTTCTTTTTTCTTTTCTAATGCTTTTGAAACAAATAGATGACAACAAATGTTATTTGAATTTCCAGAGCGTAGCTCTTCTGGATTTATCCAGTTCAAAAGGTGTTGAATCTGCAGCAACCTTAGAAAAAGAATTTGGTAAAAATAAAGCAATCTTTGTACCTTGCGATGTATCAAATGCTGCACAATTCGAAAGTGAGTTAATTTCTGATTGAAATGAATGAGTCATAAGCGGAATAAAAATAAATATTATTTTATTTAATGTATTAAAACAAATATTAATAAGTATTTGTAATACTTGCAGACGCAGTAAAAAAAGTTATTTCTGTCTTCCATACAATTGATATATTCATTAACAATGCTGGAATTTTAAATGACGATCGTTGGGAAAAAATGATTGACATTAACGTCGTAAGTTTTTTTTCTTTTTCTTTTATATCTTATTTATTTGACATTAATAAGAGAAGATTAAAATAAAAATTTTTTTGCTTTGCAGACGGGTCTCATTCGTGGATCCTATTTGGCTTTAGATCACATGAGTAAACAAAATAATGGCAAAGGTGGAGTCATTGTAAACATTGCTTCTATTGTTGGAATTTGTTCGGAATTTCCAGTGCTTCCCGCTTACACGGCAACTAAACATGCTGTAATTGGATTCAGTAGTACTTTAAAAGTATGACTAATTGCAAATTGAACGAAATCTTACAAAGTGTATGTATTTTATATCATGAGTTCTTATTATTACAGCATTCGGAAGAGTATACTGGTGTCCGTGTGTTGATTATGTGTCCTGGTGTTACAATTACAAATTTGTTTGACGGTGGAGAAAAGAATTATTGCAAATATACCGATTTTAAAGAAGCAAGTAGACTTCTAGAAAAATGCCCTAAGCAAACGTAAGTGTGATATTTTAAAACTTTTTTGGAAATATTTTTTTTTCGATCAAAATTTGTATTATATATATATGTTTTTAAATAAAGGGTCGACAACGTCTCGCGAGCAATGATGGATCTCATTCAAAAAGGCAAAAATGGTGCCATTTGGGTTAGCGAAGGCGGAGAACCACCTTATGAAGTTAATATTCCTCATTACAAGGAACTTTCTGTGCCAGTGTAAAATAAACTATTAATCGTCTTATTACAGAAATTATACATATTTCTCTTTCTTTCTTTCTTCCGTACTTTGTTCAAATAGTATTACATATTCTTTTTAAAACAATAGAATAAAATTATAATAATTTATAAATATATAATAATAAATCATAATTCTTATATATCAGAATTGTGTGTGTGTGTATTTGCGTGTTCAATAAAGACGCGATAATTCGATTAAAATTTTATATTAATTATGTTACGAATAAGCAAATATTATTAAAAATGTTTCGTCACAAATCGATTTTACATTTAAAAAAAAAAAACAATTTAAAACATTTAACAGGAAATTCTCGGTTTTAATTCAAGATCTTTTGAATTTTTTTTTCCATTTCGTTAAGTTTAAGAGAGATAAAATATTCGTGTTGAAATTCATCGTATGACTTTTAAAAAAAATGAACACTTTTTTTTAAACACAATAATACAAAATTCATATTTTACTTATTTGCACTTATGATTAGTATAAGTTTAAGATTATTTATCAGATAATGTCAATCATGAATACTATGCGTAATGTGTTTTTCATTTGTTACAAGGAACATTTTCTTATAATAAAATATCAGTACTTCTGATTCTAATATTTTTTATTAGCGATAGATAAAGTATAATAATAAAGTAACAAAGTTATTTATTTATTGTATTACGCATTATATGATTTCAACAATTATTTTACGTAGAGATAAATTACTCGTGCATAAATCTTTATGCATAACAAATCGAAAATATAATAAATCGACAAACTTTACGCCAAGTATTATTCATCAACGTTACGAACTCGTTCGAAAAAAATTCAGTACGAAACGTAAGGTGAATTACTGTGATTTGGTTTGCAAAAAAAAAAAAAAGAAAAAAAATCAAACACTCATCGATCGATTATTTTTATTCGTGAGCAATAAAAAATTTGGAAAAATCTACAAATTTAAATAGAAATAAATGTCGAAACTCTTATGATGAGAGTGGAAATATTGGTTCGTTTACTTCGAGGGGTCGAAGATCGCGATAGGAAAAATAAAATAATATAAAGATTCTTTCATATCAATCGAAAAGAGCTCAGTTTACAATTGGATTTGAAAGTTATATCAAGAGAGGCTACGAAGAAGACGATTCTTCTTTGACATACGGTTTAATAAAATTTTGAAGAAATTTGAAGAGTACTTTTTTATTTGGTTATATCTATTTTAAAGATATACATATATATATTGTATTCGATAAAACGAATTTTAATTCAAAAATATTATCAATAAAAAAAGTAGCGTTATATATTATTATTATTATTATTATTATTATTATTATTATTATTATTAGATAAAAATGCAAATAAAGGACAAAAGAGCTATCGTAATAGGAGCAGCAAGTAATTTAGGGTTGGCTTTTAGTAGAGAATTACTACGTAATGGCGTATCCGTAAGTAAATATCGTTATCTTTGAGAAATTATTATTTACATATTATTTCCCCAACGATAAGGAATTGTTTGTTTATCAATCAAACTATTATAATTAACGAGGAAATCTTGGTAACATACCTATTCGTAGAATTCCCAGCTGGATTTTTGTTTAAAAGATATATAAACAATCGGTTAACAAGATATGATATCTTTATCTATTTATTTATTTATTTATTCTTAGACAGTTGTTATGATTGACAATCGCGATAAAGAGGGAACGACGGCGAGAGAGAAATTGAATTTTGAATTTGGCAAAAATCGAGCAATTTTTCTTCACTGTGACGTCACGCGTAATACCGATTTCAACGGTTAGTATATAATCATTATTTCGTAGATTTTTTTTTTTCCTCGTTATAAATGAAATTAATAATAATTGTATATAACGATGAAAGAAAAATAAAGAATAGAAGTGAAAAAGTATGAAAAGAAAAGAAATAAATAAAACAAAGATCGTCTACTGTAGTTACATTTAAGGATGCTATCAATATTCTTGGCGGTCTCGATATATTAATCAACAACGCTAGCATAATAAATGAAGCTGACTTTACAAAAGCTATCGAAGTAAACGTGGTAAGTTTTTCTTAACATATTCGATATATATATATATATATATAAAGTCATATTCCTTTTGATTGACAATTTTGTATATTATAATATTTTTTTTTTTCTTGTTGATAATACGTATACATTATTTCTCGATTGTACACACATAGAAAAACGTATTAATAGATATCATTTACAACAGACAGCTCTGATCCGTTCCACGTTACTGGGAATACAACAAATGCGTCGAGATTTAGATGGTAATGGTGGTGTAGTACTTAATATTTCCTCGATAGCAGGTTTATGGGCTTTACCAGAATTTCCAGTTTATTCCGCAACCAAACACGCTGTGGTGAACTTTAGCCGTTCCTTTGCGGTATGAAATTTGTTCTACGTTCTTTTTTTTTTCCCCCACCATTTTAAACGATTTAACGTTAAATCATTCCTTTTTAGCAACCTTATCATTATCAAAGGACTGGCGTGAGAATCATAGTACTCTGTCCAAGCTTGACCGAAGCTAATCTCGAAGATTTTCGAAAGAACCTTAGCGATCCACAAGTTTTGTTCAAATATCAACCACAAAGGTATGTAAAGCAATTGTGCGGTGCTCCCTTACTGTAAAAACTTTATCTAAAAAATGATTCATTTTTTAACAGGGTCGAATTAATTGCTCACGGATTAGTATATGCGATTAGGTGTGCTCAGAATGGAAGTATATGGATTAGCGAACAAGGCAAACCTGTTTACGAAGTTCAATTGTCCGATAGTTTACCACAGAAAACGGAACAAACGATAGAACAAATGTGTTAGATGGTGATGTTTTAAATTAATTACAAATAAAATGTTTCCCTTTTCTTTTTGTTTTTATTTACAATTAAACATTTATCTAAAGGAACAAATTATAACGTTAGATTTAAGAAAAAATAAGTGTACTTTCGTTTTATAAACCCATTAGCCCTACCCCAATTATTTATTTACGGTTGTAACAAATGTTTGAAATGATATAAATCATTGGATCGATCATGCTTTAGTTTCGATTTATTCTTTAAACCATTCGTAGTATTTAATTATCGTGTTGCATTATAATTTGAAGGATATTTAAACGTAGGAAGGCGCTTTTTTGTTTACTTTTTTTTCTGTTTTTTTTTTTTTTTATTTAAATCATTTGGGAGTCAGCGACTAAAAGAATTAATCGAGTAGTCGTCCTCGTAAGATAATTTTATTTATCGGTATTTCTACGCGAGTAAATATTCATTTCTT